CATGATGTATGTAGCGACGGTGGTGATGATGTTGGCGACTGTAGTAGTTACGATGAGGATGAAGATGATGATGATGATAATAGTGATGAATAGGAATGACGATGGTTGCTATGCCGTGCTGAAATCTATTGAAGTCATGGGATTGTTTTTATTACTGATAAGTATTTATTTATATAGTTTCCATTGGCCAAGAAGAAATTCGTGCATGGCGAAGCTTATAGAGGTAGCAACAACAACAACATCAACAACAATAACAACAACAACATCAACAAATTCAACAAAATCGCTGCTAGCTTGTTTGGCCAGAGTAACCACAGTAATAGTAATAATAATAATGATGAGGATGATGATGATGAAGAAGATACAGTTTGTAGGAATAATTTACTGCTACTCAACAAAGAGTTGAATGGCTTAATGGCCGTATGCAGTGAAGTTACCAGCAGAAATTATATAATTGATCAGGTGATGATGATGATGATGATGACGGTGGTTATAATAGCTGCGGCGGTTGTGGTGGTTGTGGCTTATGAAGTAGCGATGATGGTTGTGGTGATGATGGTGGTAATTATTACTTTTTTTATTTTATCAACATTTCATTAATGCATCTGTTTGTTTTTTTATTCATTAATTCTTTCCTTTGCCCATTCGTTCGTTCGTTCATTCATTCATTCGTTCATTCATTCATTCATTCATTCACTCTTCTGTTCTTTCATTCATTCATTCATTCATACATTCATTCATACATTCATTCATTCATTCATTTTTGCAGACGATGGTCTACGCAGCCTACAGAGACTCAAAGATTTCAATGTTTGATAAGTTTAAAAGGATTGCTGTTGTCATCATTGACCCGGACGATAGTGGTGACGACGATGATGACAATAATAGTGGTGATGATGACGATGAAGAGTACATCAAGAGAAAGTTGAGGAAACATGTGATGATGGAGATGAAGAGTAAGTGATGATGATGATGGTGCAAATGCAGATGATGATAGAGATTGAGATGATTGTAATAATGGTAATGTTGATGATTAATTTAACATTTTCCAGGAATATTTACCTTGCCAGCTGTCGGTCCAAAATACCACCAAGTCATTTACGTGAATGGTGACAAATTGAGCGCTACAAAAATTGTTGGAAACTATAACAGACAAGCGCAGCAATACTTTCAGCAACAGCAACGTCAGCAACATCAACAACAACAACAGCAGCAACAACAGCAGCAACAACAACAAAATGTTTCTCAACAGAAAGACAAGAAAGCAGTGGAAAATTCTTCAATATTATATTCACCATACGCTGCTGACAGTAAGAGTGATGAAGATGATGACGTTGATGATGATGTCAATGTTGCCAGAGATAATGTTGCTAAAAGTGGATTTAAATCTTTGCAACAAAACGTCAACACAAAACTTTCTGTTGATGTGACAACAACATTATCTGCAACAATTTTGAGCAGGAAATCTACAGCAGTAACAACCGCTGCTACCACTGCTAAATCTTTGAAAACTGTTGCATCAACTACTACTATTATTGTTGCAACCACATCAACAACAACAACAACATTATTATTATCTTCGTCGTCGTCATCTGCAACGACAACACCATCAACAACAACAGTAACAGCAGTGACATCATCATCATCAACCTTCTGGAAGATAAGATCATTTTTCAAGCAGGCACCTTCGAGTTCATTGGCATCAGCAACAACATCTGCAGCGACACAAGCCTATGCAACTATGACTGAATATAAAGGGAAATCTGCCAAGGAGTTGTTTGCTAAAATTGCCCCTACAGCTGCTGCTACTGCACCTGCTACTACCGCTGCATCAACAACATCTTCAACATTGTTGAGCAGCTCTTCGACAGATTTGTCTGCCACAACATCAGCAGCGTCAATGATGACGTCATCGACGACTGCATCAGTGGTGTCTACTGCTGCTACGGCTAAGAACAAATTTTCAATGGATTTCAGTAAATTATCTAAAAGCGGCAGTCTTGTTGCAACATCAACTGCAACATCACCGTCAATAACAGCAACAACTAGAGCAACATCGATAACAGCAACTGCAACAACAACCACATACACGTCAGCTGCTAACACTTCAACAGCTGCATCGACAACAGCGATCGGGGAACCTTCAAAACAGACACAACAATCGATCTACCAGATGCAAACCTCTACAACAACACTGACAACAGCATCGACAGCAACAAGCTATGAAACAGCAGCCACAGCAGATCTCGTCTCCAAGAACATCTACAGCATAAACACAGACTTACTCAACAGCAGAGGCCAGCCAAATTCCTACTACAACCTTTTCGTCAATCCATCCCAGACGACGACGTTCACCTTCGAACAGCATCAACAGTTCCTACAGCAGCAGCAGCAACAACAGCAGATGATGATTCCTGGCTTTGCATACCCTCCACCCCCCACAGCTGTCGTAGCTGATCCTACTAGCATGTTGATGCCACCAGCTGTTGATGCGACGCAGCCGCTCTATCCGCAACAGCAGCTTGCATATTACCAGCCAGGAGGGTATGGATATTACCCTGGCTACTACGGTTATACTGATTACACACAACAACAGCAGTTAATACTACCCGATGGCACTCCTCTGATGGCTGTTGATGCTCTGCAGCAAATTCCACCACCCCAGCTGATGCAACAACCACCGCCGATACATCAACTACCGCCACCCTTAGTACAGCCGCAACTACTGCAACAACCTCCTCCTCAGCTACAACCGCCACAACTGCTTCAACAAACGTCTCAACAACCAACGACTACAACATCGCAGCCTCAGCAAGTTTCACAAAATCAGCAACAACAATTGCAGCAACCACCACCATTGAAAGAGCAACAACCGCACCAGCAACAACAGCAATATTTATTTCCTCAGCAACACACTCAACAACAGCAACAATATTCTCAACAAAGCCAGTTTGCCTACTATGATATGACTCGAGCTCAGGACACTCCTGCGTCTGATGCGTACAATCAAGCTGTGAAACCACAACATCAGCAACAGCAGCTGCCGCAAAAACTGCAAAAACCAGCGTCTTCTCAACAACAGCAAAAACTGGCTTTATCACAACAGCCACAGGTAGTGACACCACAACAGCCACAAAAACCAACAACATCACAGCCGCAACAACCACAGCATAAGCCACAACTCTTCAACACGTCTGTTTCGATCCCATTCCTCGGCAGTCAGTGCAACGAAAATGTCGCCACTACGGCATTACCAGCAACATCTTCTTCTGCTATGAATATTGTAAATAGCAATTCAAAAAGTAGTATTAGTAATAATGTTTTCGGTGGTACTGCAGCCGCTAAAACTGCTGCTACTGCTGCCACTTTTCAAGCAAATTTCAAACAGATTTCAATGAGAAGTCAAAGACCACTTCAACCACAACTGCAGCAACTGCAGTCACCTCTGCAACAACAATCAGCTTTACAACAACAATCGGCACATATATCACAGACAAAACAACAGCAGAAGCAGCCTTTCAAACCGAAAACTCCACAACAGCCGCCAAAATCAACATACCAACAACAACAGCCACAGCAGTATCAGCAACAACAGCCACCACCACACCATGAGCAACAACAACAGTATGCTTACTACTCAGGCATTACTTCAAATGTAGCATTGATAACTACATCCACAGTTACTACTTCTACCACTACAAGTATTACTACTACTGCGGCTATTACTACTACTGCAGCAACTGCTACTACTACTAATACTACTGGCAAACAAGGAATCACTGGAGATTGGGCACAGCAGATTCAACAACTTCCACCTCAATATCCTAACTCAGCTCAGCAACAGCAATCTTTTCCTCCTAATGATCTGGACTTTTATAAACTCGTTCCACCACCATTCCTTCAACAACAAAATCCACCACCAGCACGTCAAGAGCAACTACCACAACAACATTTTCCATCAACCTCTGAACCCAGTTTTCCATTACCTCCCCCAATCCGTCCACCATTCTCACTGGATGCACCTTATTACCCAACGCAAGACCAACAACAACATCCTCGTCAACAAAATCCTCAGCAACAACGTCCTCGTCAACCACAACAACAACAACAAAATTGGCATCAACATCCTGTTGAGCAACAAGAACATCAACATTGGCCGCAACAACGGCAACCTCCGTCTGATCAGATACAGCCGCAATGCAGGCCACAAAATCCACAGCAACAACATCAATTTCGACCTCGTAACCCGAATCAACAACATCGACAGCAACATCGACAACAACATCCTCAATTTCAGCAACAAAACTCAGTTGATCCTTTTATGCCCTTCCATGAGCAGCAGCAGCAGCAGCAGTATCCACCACCACGTCGCCACCTCCAACTGCTACTACAACAGCACCAGCAGCAACAACAGTATCATGAACAGCCAGAAGATGGTGGTGGTAGGATGTCTAGGAAGAGATTTGGAGAGAGTTTGCCGGACAGAAATGTTTGATCCTTATTTTTTGTACATAATTAACTCATCATTTTGATAAATTTGATAAATGCCTGGTCTATATTGGTGCTGCAGCGGTAATGTGCATGCCTTGTTTGTTGCATTGACCTAGTTCGAATGCATACACGGCCATGGTATATTCATTTTACTTCACCTTATTGCTATTATCGTTAATTACTATTGTTAATTATTCATCATCGTTTGGCTATTTTATTGTAGATGATGATGGGCTATAGATTAAAGAGAAGCAAGTATTCCATGCACGAAGGAGAGGACGCCAGCGACGGGATTGGCAGTGAGATGAACAGGGATGGCAGTGGCATGAATGATGGCGACGTCGAAGGCTACTTCAAAAGCGACGATGAATCGGCCGATAATTACGACAACGACGACAGTAACTATTATGATAATAATTATGACGGTAATAATTATTACAGTGACCTACCTCCAGGCCGGGGTCATCATTACGATGAAGATGGAGCTGCTAATGTTGATAATCGTCGTGCCGGTCATCGCGGTGGCTTCAGTGGCGACCACGACGACCGGGAAGATAATAATTACGGGAGAGATCATGATTATAGGAGAGGGAGAGGTGGAGGAAGCTACCGCGACAATAACAGATACAACAGCAACCAGAGAAGTAATAGCAACAGCAGAAATTTTAGAGAGAGAGAGAGAAGCGATAGTAGGGACAGATCTAGAAATTATCACCTTCAACAAAATCCACAACATCTACAGCCTCATCCTCCAATCCGTCCTCAACAACATCAACAGCAGCAGCAAAGGCCTCGCGCTTCCCAACAGTTTGGCCACAGTGCTCACCATTTCAGTTCTCCACCTTCACATCAGCAACAATATCCCGCACACCAGCGGCAGCAAAGATTTCCAGCACCGCCACAGTTTGGGTCAGTACGTTTTCAGCAGCACGGAGCAGCACAGCAGCAGCAAGAGGAACCAGATTCACAGCAACCAAAACATCTTCAGCAGAAACAACAGCAAGCAGATGACTCCAACAAAGCCGCAAACAACCAACCACAGTTCCACACCAACGTTCATCAGCAACAGCAGCCTGGCAACAAGCAACAACAACAACAGCCACAGCAGCAGCTGCAACGTCCTGGCAACAAGCAACAGCCACCGAAACTGAACCCACCACCACTTCCGCCAGGGCAACATCAGCTGCAGCGTTTTCAAAATGCACCTAGGCCTCCGAGATTTATGAAGCCAGAATGAGGCTCTGATGTTTATAATTGTGAGGGTTGCAATTGGGATTCTGATGAAAATAACTGTAATGATTTCAACTGCTAGAATGGTGATGATATCGATAATATTAATAAGAATGATGGTAATGATAACGATTTATGTATGTATGTGTATATATATATATTTTTTTCAAAGTTTATTCATAACTAGCAACATATCAAATAAGTGAATGATAGTTACGAAGTTGAATGTGTGTTGAGACACCGAATGTCTTGTAGTGGGGCCAAGGCTGGTAGCTATGTGAATATTTAATGAGAAGAGATAAGAAAGATAATTGAGACGGAAAGATAATTAAGGATAAATAGATAAATGTTCTTGTTACACGTACATACATACTTACATACATGCATACATTCATACATACATACATACATACATACATACATACATACATACATACATTCATACATACATACATTTTACTTCTTATTATTGCTGTTATGAATGCTATTAATATTTAAAATTTATAAATTGTCAGCAAATAATTTTCATGCTTTGTATTTATTTGTATCTGCTATCGATAATCTTCTCGACGACGATGACGATGATGATGCTGGAGATGATGGAGGTGGTGATTGGGGTGATTAAAATTACTATGATGATGATGATGACGATGACGTAGATGATGACGTTTATGGTGATGTACGAATGTAATAATAATTGCTTGCTGATCGTAACGGCGATAATGTCTATTTTAAATAAATAAATATAAAAATATATATATTTGTGCGTAATATTATGTCATTTTATTACAACCATAATTATTAATTGTACTAATAAATAAATAATAATAATAATAATGCTAAGACGTTACAATTGGAACTGTTCAGTTGGATCAGTTGGATTCTTTGTTTTAATTACATATAATTTTTATTCATATTACCATTCATGTTATTCATAATTTGTGTTACTTCCTTTAGTTAAGATTTCGGTTTTAAAATATTTTTCAGTTCAAGTTGTTTTTTGTTTTAAACTTTGCGCAGAAGATAATTCTTTTTCTTTGTTTTTTCGTTAAAAAATCCGCATGTCTTTAATCTGTATATTAGTACTGTGTGTTTGTGCGTGTGTGTGTGTGTGTGTGAGAGAGAGAGAAAGACAGACATATTGATTATACGTTATTTTCCCCATCCAAACCAACACTTGTCTCATTTCTTCTCTATGCATTTTGGTCTGTTTGTGGGTGTGTGAATGGGATAGAGAGAGATAAATGTTATATTTGGCGAATGTCTTTAATCGGTTCAATTATTATAATTGAAATCAACTTTATTATTCACGTGGAACTTTTGGTTGGATCGTTAAGTTCCTATTCAGTTAATCTGCTAATTAACCTTAATTAATTAACGAATTGTTTGATTTTTTTGTTTGTTTTGTGATTATAAAATAAAGCGTAGAAGTTTGCACACTTCTGTGTTGAGTACTGTCTCTTTTTCCATTGGATTCCACTTGCTTGTTTGCAAGAGATCTTACTACTGTCTCGTGATGGATGTAACTGTACGCTTGTAATACGTGCACGCGTTCGAATCGGCAGGCGGTGTTAGCACCGTCTCATCTAATTAACGAATACGAAATTAAACTTAAACTTGGAAAATGTCAACGAATAGAATGGTTTGTTTATCGCGACAAATAAACTGATAATTCTAATTATATGCTGATTAACGTGTAACGTTGAAAACACGTTTACTGGCTTTCCATAGTTTAAAGTTCACTTTCTTCTTTCGTTATATTTGTTTAAGTTCACAAAATGTTTACATATGTAAACATTGAAAATTTTCACTAAAATGAATAGTTTTGTTAATTATTCCCACTTTTTTTAATTTAAGAGACACTTGAATTAAAATCCATTCAAACCAAATTAAAAATTTTATGAAAAATAATGAGCAGTGGTGGTGGTCAGTCAAAAAGGCAAAATGACAACAAGAGCAAGGAAGCCATGGAGAAAGATCGGTCCACACCGAATTCGGCACCGAAAAATCCGTCAGGTTCTTTGCTCCAAGAAATGTCGAGAGGTGCATTTGTCCCCGGATTTTCTGGGTCGGTGCCGTTTTCTGGTTTTCCGTCAAATTGGCAGGAAATACCGCCGTTTTTGTTGAATCCAGGGTTCATGCCATCGATGACAGCGATGGATATGTTCTCGACGGCAGCCATTTTGCACTCGTTACAAGGTTCTACAATGTACCCCCCAACGAGTATGCCACTTTTAAGGTCACCAATGGGTCTGATGCAACCTAATTACGGCCCAGGGATATTTCCTCAGCAGGGCAGTGATGTTCCAAGAGAAGGTTTGCGTCGCACGCCTCATAAAATTCAGGATCCGGGCATTGAGTGTGAGAAAGTTTTGATGCTTCAGATGAAGAAACATGATCCCACAGCCTCTACTAGATTCACAAGATCTCCATATAGCTCTCGAGGATCTGTGCATAATTTAGAAGGGAAAATGCAGAACACTGAAATGGACGAGCAGGTTGTTAACATTGATTCTGATGAGGAGGAAGAGGAGGAAGAAAATGATGAGGCACCAATGCCACTTATTAAAAAAATGAAGGAGTCAGATTTTTCATCGAATCCAAAAATAAATGAATGTTCTAACACTTCTTTCAAGTCTTGTGCATCTAAAGATGAATCAAACTTATCAATTTCATTCACTGCATCCAACTTTGAATGTTCCTCCCCAGTCAAAAATGATGACAAACAATCACAGAAACATCTTTTAGACACATCCACCACTGAAAAATCAGTCACATCAGAATTTGACACATCAGAACACAGAATCAACTCGGATTTTGATCAGCCATCAAACAATGTTCGACACACAATAACTCTTCCTCCAAGAAAACGTTTGAAATACGACGAATTACTTGAGCCACCAACAACAGCCGTTGTTAACCTAACAAAAATCCCCACAACTACAACAACCACAACATCAACAATCACATCCTCATCGACAAATTTCAGTTACATTTCATCACACTCCATCTCATCAGACAGTCCCCAGTCAACTAATTTTAGGTCATGTTGGAAGAAATTTAGTGCAAAGATAAACAACAATGGACAGCCTCTGTTTCGAACATTTCATTCTACAGGCAAGCCAATGTACTACAAAGCTATCATACAGAAATATTTGGATGGGTCAAAGCAGAGGTCATACCCAAAAGAGGCACAAATCCCTGACGGCCCCACGTCTCCACGAATCACGAGAAGTCAGGCTAAACAGAAGAACTCAACACAAGGAAGTGAAAACACGTCTTCAACGGAGCTGACTGAAAAATCGACAATTCGTAAATCTACAAGGAAAAAGGTGTCCAATAGTAAATATGACGCTCCTAATATCATCACCCCAGGCATAAAAGGTAAGAAACAAAGATCTAAGAAGTCTCTGACCAGCCAGGAGACGGAAGAATCTGCCAATCAAACTGCTTCAAATGAGAAAATTGCAAATGATCCCAAACTAGATGAAAGTTCAGAAAACTCAACAGCAACGACAATGGCAACTACACTAACTCAGAACGACGACCCTCAAACCGAAAAACTCACCAATGATGACATTCTAAAGTCATTAGACAAACCGACAGAAAATAACTTATCAATAATAACAGATCTCCAAGAAACAAAGCTCCCATCCAGTTCGATGATGACACCGGATTTCAAAAAGTTAGAACACTGTGACAGAAAGTCGACATCGTCGGGACTGTCGACATGCTCTGGGGATGTCTCGTTTGACCCCGACCCACCCATCATCCTTCATCCTAAATTTCGTCATTCTAAGAAGAAAACCATTTTTATAACTTCTTTTCAAGATGACGTTATTACTACCATTACTACTTCTACTGCAGCTGCTGCTGCTACATCCACTACTACTACTACTACTGTTTCTACTGCTACTACTTTTGCTGCTACTACTTCTTCTACTAGTTCCGGTAATATTACTACTAATAATGTAAGTTGTGAAGCTGGTGTTGTTGGTAAATCTTTTATAACAACGCCTCTTACTGATCAAATGGTTGAAAATTTAGTTGGAGATAATAGCGTTGAATGCGAAAATTCTTTTATTATTATTACTACTACTACTACTGCTGCTGCTGCTGCTGCTGCTGTTACTGCTGCTGTTACTGCTGCTGTTACTGCTACTACTTCTACTAGTAGCAGTGCCGCTACTACCACAGCCGCTGCTGATGATGATAATAGTGGTGGTGTTGGCGGGAGTAATAATAAAGACGAAAACATTGATAAGGTAAAGTATTTTATTTTCTTTTTAAAGATGTTGATGATTGATTGATTGATTAATTAATTAATTAATTAATTAATTAATTGGCTAAGATTATCTTTTTTATAATTGGTTTGAACAGGGGAATATTGAGAAAATGGTCATTTCAACGGCGTCTAAATCTAACGACGAGGATGAAAGCTTGGATGCGAATAAACACAACAACAATAACAGCAATAATAATAATAACAATAACAATGTGAATAATAATAACAATGAGGATGATGTTGTCATCAACTGCAGCAGGACAGAATCAGACAACAGTGACGCTACTACTACCAAAGTTTCAATTCTAAATGAACTGACGCCGAAAAATGATCAAGATAATAATGATAGTAGTAGTAGTAGTACTGTAGCTACTACCGATGCTACTACTACTACTACTACTACTACTACCACTACTACTATTACTTCTACTGCAGCTAGTGCTGCTGCTACAATTGCCACAAATGAGAGTAATAGTATCAAAGATAGTGGCGGGTTTAGTAGCGGCAGTAGCGTTATTGTTAGTATTTGTAGTACTAGTCACGCTACTGATGTTAACACCAGCTGTAATATTAACGATAGTAAAATTACTAAACACGATAATGAGGTAGAAAGAGTTGAAAATGAAACAGATCTTGATCCCCAAGTTAGCAATAATAATGATACCATTTTAAATCAACCTTCTATAGTTTCGGTGAAAATTCCAGAAAAGTTGAAGCTGAAAATTGATTTAAGAAATAATGGTATTATCTCGTCGTCATCTTCTTCATCATCTTCATCATCGTTATTATCATCGGAAGTTAAGCACAAGAGATCAGTTGTCGTTGTCTTACCAAATATGCCTCCCGACACAGCTGTTGAAAAGAAACAGAATGTCAAAAAGCAAAGATATAAAGATAGAAGACTGTCTAGTCAGAAAGTCGTAGAAAAGAAAAGTTTGGAAAGCGAAAATATGCTTAGCTCAGATACTGCAGATGATAAAATGTCTGAACATTTACTGCCCAGTAACGAATACTTAACAGAAAAAATAGACGGCAATAATACTGTATGTGTTAGTAGCGTTATTACCGATGCTGCAACTAATATTAGTAGCAGTAGTACCTTGAAGGAAAAAACAAAATATAAAACTGTCAAAGTCATCTTAAGTAACAAATCTGTTTTAGAACACAGCAGCAGCAGCTCGGCAGCAACAGCAGCCACGACAGCAGCCACAACATCGGCAGTTGTTGATCAGGTTAAAGTAAACGAGTTGCCGACGTCAAATGATAACTTTGATGATGCCATTGGGGATAACAAGTTTGAAGGCACGGCGAATGTTTATAATTTTTCAGAAAATGATCTAGAAACAGCCGCGAAATTAGATGCTGGACCAGCGTTAAATGCTTCTCCCACAAAACCGGGACGGAAGAAAAAACCGAAAGGTAGAAAGAAAAAAAATAATTCCAGCTCCAACAATCTGGTCACCTCAAACATTAACGTTGATTCCAATGTTGTTAGTGCTTCTTCGGATACGAAAATATCTGACTTGGAGATGATAAGACTATCTAGCGAATCTTTAAATACTTTAACTCCCGTTGAATCAGGCAGTAGTTTATCTGAAAGTCAGTTGAACAGTTCAAAAGATGTCTTACCTAAAAAATTGAAACAGAACGCGAACGCCGCATCGAAGCCGACGTCAACTTCAGCACTAACAACAACCACAACAACAGCAAGTAATAATTTCCAACTATCGCCGACTAGCAGTGTGAGTAACAACAAACCGGTCGATATTTACGATTGGAACGCCAATAACGAGAATGATAATGAGAATCTGGAGAATCTTATTAAGATCCGACGCAAGAGGATGTTGAGTAAAACGTCCAGAGGGGTTTCATCTAAGAAGAGAGCCAGCTCAACTGATAATCTTCTATCGACCTGCAAATCATTTTCGGTTGTTGTTCAGAAGTTAGAGCCGTCATCTTCTGAAGCGGACAACAACAACAACTTTAATACACTCCCAGATAATAATGATAACTTCACTTTAGAAAACAAGCCAACCTTAAAATTTGAAATTAATGCGAAAAAGCGGAAACAGAAGAACATTCGCCAGAGTAAAGAAAAGAACAAAAAAAGTAGAAACTCCAGCGCTAGTACGAGCAAGATGAAACAGTTTTTACCATTAAATCGACCAGCAACTCAGTTATCTGGCATCAGCAGCATTGGTGCTGGTAGCACTGCCACGAACAACTTTTGTGCTTCCCCACAAAGATGGCTGCAACATATTGAGCCCTTGCAATCCCCTCCAGAAACTCGAATCCCGCCATCAATCAAACTGCATTCATCCACTTATAACTCGCCAAATTCATTTAATAGCAATAACCTAGGCAGTAGTAGTACTAATGTTAATAATAATAGTAGTAGTAGTAGTAATAGCAATCTAAATGAAAGTTCAGCGAAATTGAAAACGCCACAAACTGCCAGTAATCAACAAGTTGACCCAACATCATCATCGTCGTCTGCATCGTCATCCATGCCAGTGAAGTTTAAATTGAAAAAGATAGGCAAGGATTGGATTTCAGTAGACGCCAAGAGTCAGGGCGACGTTACGCCTGACAGAAGCTTTAAAGAGAAGAAAAGTAAGAATAAATTATTGAAAAAGTGTTTAAAAGTTGAAAATCCTGAATCGATCTACGTGCCAGAGAGTATAGCTCAAGGTTTTGTGTGTGAGGATGATGATTTGAGGCAAGCCTTTTTGCAAAAAATAACTCTATCTGATTTCTTTCAATCACTTTTTGGTAATTTTCCAGTCGGTAATTTACCAGAAATCAATCCGAATTTGAGTTTTAAGTTTATTCTAGATGAAGATAACGACGAATGTGATGTTTTTGTTACTCTCCAACCAAGCAAAACTTTTTTAGTCCCTAGTGAGATTGAAATCTTGATGTCAGGGCTGAAAATTAACGAAGCTAAGATGGCAAGCTCACCGAAAGATGAAAGAACAACAGCTGATGAATCTCAACAAAGCCAAAAAACTACGAAACCAGAACCGGAAACACGGAAACAAAATCCCTGCCTCCCAACAAACGATCCCATCATTCAGAGCTGCAACTTTTACAAAAAAGATGAACTTCTTTTAAACAGTACGGAAAAGGATAACGAATTATTACAGAACGTCAATCTGGACACAAAACGTCATGGAAGTCAGTTCCAATCGTTTCAGCTGGCCCCACTTACAGAGGATATCTCCAGATCGTATACAGGATCATTGGATGAATCCTGTTGGGATTTTATTAACTATCACATCATTAACGTTTTGTGATTTCTACTTTTTGGCATCATTTCATGTAGATAGTGTTTGGTTTTTTTTTGTTTTGTTTCAGAAATATTCAAAATTTGTATATAGTTTTTTGATTGATCGAATGATTGATTGATTGATTGATTGATTGATTGATTGATTGATTGATTGATTGATTGATTGATTGATTGATTGATTGATTGATTGATTGATTGGATGGTTGATTGGATGGTTGATTGGATGGTTGATTGGATGGTTGATTGGATGGTTGATTGGATGGTTGATTGGATGGTTGATTGAGTGACTTTGTTTTCCAGTTTTCTTTCATTCATTCATTTATTTATTTAATTCATGTTGGTGTGCAAGATTCAATGACGGACGTTGTTGGAAAAAAAAATTAATTTCTTTTCGTTTATTTTTTACAAACTGGCCTAAACATATACAATTTCATAAATTATAACAACCATATTAATAATTATTATTAAAAATAATAATAATATGAAAAAACTAGTAATTTTTCAGAGCGATATATCACTAAATAGGTCTTAACAATTTAGAAAGATAGAGGAAATTAATGAAGATGAATGTAGATAGTGGCCTTTTGATAGATGGAGCGCGATTGATTGATGGCCTAAAATGTCGCTGATCTTCGTACCCCCTGTGGATAGATTTCCATTTTAACTTCGAACTATTTTTTGACGGAAAAATGTGAACGTATTCCAGTTGGGCAACTTTTAGTATGGAGAGTTCCGCTATTTCTGTTAGCACCTTGTTTCGTTCGTTTATTAACCTCGCTAGGTTTCGTGATTTCTCTATGCAAAAATCAACCTTAAATTGAGAAAAATTATGAATTTATAATAGTATATATATATATATTATAACTATAATATAATAATTATTAATTATTTGCACGACGCAGTAATTATATTTGCATCAAAGGTTCTAAAGCATTTTGGCAATGAAATCATCAAGTCAGGATGGCCGAGCGGTCTAAGGCGCTGCGTTCAGGTCGCAGTCTGGTTCTCCAGGCGTGGGTTCAAATCCCACTTCTGACATGATTATTTTTACTTTTTAGTGGTTCGGGATGTTATGTTTGTCGTTCATCATAATTTTATGGCAATAATAATGACCAACTGATTAATTAAACAGCTAAAATTTTACAATAAAATTAATCGCCTACCCAATTTTTTAAACAAAAATGTTTTAAAAGTATTTTCATACCAGAACTACTACTACTACTACTACTACTACTACTACTACTACTACATCTAATAATAATAATTATAATAAAATAAAAATAATAACTAACATTATTATCAGACGATATTTTGAACAGAAAATTCCCTTTGTAAGTATTTGACGTTAAGACTTTGCATTCAACTGACTAAATTATGATAAGAATTGTAAATATGATTAGTATTTATTGTTACTATTATTAATTATTATTAATTTATTTAGTATTTATTATTATTATTATTATGTTATTATTCATATTATTCCTTCGTTCCTCATCACCATGTGTTGAACCTCGCTCTAAGATGAACCCTTCGAAGCTAATCAAAACATGGGAATAAAATAACAAAAACCTTATTTATAACACATGGACGAACAAACGAATGAGTAACCCATCGAATGTACGAACGAACAAGCAAACAAACAAAAGGACAGACAGGTAGACAGACAGACAGGTAGACAAACAGACAGATAAACAGACAGACTGACTGACTGATAGAGACAGACAGACAGACAGAAGTACAAACACACATGAAAATGAGCAAAAAATATGCTAAAATGAATGTTTAAAAAATTTTATTCCCATACGTTAGAGGCGCTAGTGTAGACATCTTTGGAATTTAAAAACATAGACAACAGAACGGAAACGACGTCATCAGTGATTTTACCGCCCATACCTGTTTCTATGGCAACTTGTTCCTGGCTACTGTACCCAACATGTAAAAATAGTCCTGTGTAAAATTTTCCTTTATTTTTTGTATGTATGTGTGTATGTATGTAAGTATGTGTGTGTGTATGTATAGATGTGTGGATGTGTGTGTGTGTGTGTGCATGTATACAAACCTGACTTATTATTTTGGTATAGCGCTGACTTTTCAGATTTTGCGCAGATGACTTCACCGCCATCACAAATACATGAGCCTCTGTCCCGAGATGTCGTTACTGTTTGTTTAGTTGGTTGGTTGGTTAGTTGAATGATTGTTTAGTTGGTTGGTTCGTTGTTTAGTTGGTTGATTGGTTAGTAGATTGTTTAATTGTTGACCTGACTGATTGGTTTATTTATTTATTAAGGGAATGATAGTAAAATATTATTACATTTTCATGTCTTCCATGTTTTGCCGGTGTAAACATTGAACATTGATGCCAATAGTTGTGAAAATATAAAACATAATTTCTCTTTCTCTCTCTCTCTCTCTGTCTCTCACTGTCTTTCTCTCTCTGTCTTTCTCTCTCTCTCTCTCTCTCTGTCTCTCTCTCTCTCTCTCTCTCTCTCTCCAAACACCAAGAAAAAAACAAAACACACACACACACACGCACACACACACACCTTCTTGACATTTTGTTCTCGGAGCATTCTGCATTACGCTACACGATGCTGTCCTGTTGTTATGGTAACACCGACATAAAAGTGACGTCATATTGTCTTTCTTCCGGTTGTCATAGCCATCAGTGATGGCACTGTACAACTTTGATAACAGTTTTTATAGCGCTTCTTTTAAAATTATATTTTTTTCATATTTTTAAAGCTTTAAACTTGTATATTATTAAATAATTTATTATAACCATAGATATTATTATTATTATTATTGTCAATAATAATATTATTAATATTTTCTAATAATAATAATTATTATTTTACTATCATTACCATTACTTACTCTTCTAGAGTATGTTAGCTTGGTGAGCAATTGATTTTTAGCACAAACTGTATTTAACAAATGAAAAAAAAAACAATTTAATTTATTAAATTAATTAATTCGTTTTAATCCGTCTATCGTTTAATTAATTTACTCATTAACTTATTCATTCTTCAATTAATTCATTAAGTCATGCATTCATTCATTCATCACTGACATACCTGTATCCCAATTATGTAGATCATCATCATCAACATCGTCGTCATCATCATCATTTTTTGTTAAAGATGGATGGATAGAAGACTGAATGAGACTCTTGTGAAAAATTTTCCTTGCCTCAACTGTAGAATGAATGAATGAATGAATGAATGAATGAATGAATGATTGAATGAATGAATACATGAATGAATGAATGAATGAATGAATGAATGAATGAATGAATGAATGAATGAATGAATAAATACATGAATGAATGAATGAATGAACGAACGAACGAACGAATGAATGAATAAATGAATGATCGAATGAATGAATAAATAAAAAAATAAAAAACCTTTACAAAGCTGATCATCATTTACCAGCAAATCTTTTAATTCCAAACATTTACTACTCTTAGACGTGACGTCACAATTACATTTTTGAGTCAAATTTGAATTAACCAATGAGATTTGAGCTTCTAAGCAGGGCGACCAATGAGAATTGGGCTGACTTATTTTGTTGTTGTTGATGACGTTGTTGTTGTTGATGTTGTTGTTGTTGTTGTTAAGACACTTTTTGTTTATGTGATCATAAGCGCAAAAATTTTCTAGATTATTCCACTTCGGTCTTGAAAATTTACAATCAATCAATCAATCAATCAATCAATCAATCAATCAATCAATCAATCAATCAATCAATCAATCAATCAATCAATCAATCAATCAATCAATCAATCAATCAATCAATCAATCAATCAATCAATCAATCAATCAATCAATCATTCAATCAGTCAATCATTCAATCAGTCAGTCAGTCAATCAATCAATCAATCAATCAATCAACCAACCTACACTTGGAATCAATCAGACAGTCGTCAAGCAAATCGACACAGTTCCTCACAGGAACATTTATCTTCGTGCACGATGGTCGAACGATGTTCTTTTCAATGAGGAAGCAGTTTTTAGAACCTTTTGAATGTTTAAAGGTGCTATTTGAAGAACCTTTGTTGTTGTCTACGCCGTAAGATCGAATGCTCGATATCGAACTAATTTCGCTTCCGCATTGGCATGAAAATAGCTCTTTTTTTAGGGCGGTAAGATGTTGTTGATGTTGTTGTTGTTGTTTATGTTGTTGTTGTTGTTGATGTTGTTGTTGATGATGTTTCTTTTGATAGAATATATGCCGGCGACGATGATTATGACGATAAACGTATTGATGATGATGATTATGATGATGTTGTGGATGTTGTTGTTGATGTTGTTGTTGATCGGGATGATGGTGATGACTCAAAATGAATAGCTCACTTAAAGACCTATAAATGAATGAATGAATAATTGTGTGAATGAATGAATGAATGAACGAATGAACGAATGAATAAATGAATTAATGAAAAGTTTACCTGAAAATAAATAAAACAAAATAGAAAAATTTGAACATAAAAATGGCGAAATAAATATAACTCGAGATTACTTGCTGTAGAATGTATGGCCGGTTTAAATAATAATACGTCCAGCAGAAACATCCAAAGAAATAAATATACGACCATGACGTCATCAGCAACGTCATCGTCACAATCCTAATCATCATCATCAGCAGCAGCGGTGACCAGAAGCAGCGTCATCATCACCAGTCTAATCATCATCATCGACAACAACAACATCAACAACACCAACAACAAAAACAACATCAACAACAACAACATTAACAACAACCTTCTGCAAGAATAAACATCACAGACGTTGTTGTTGTAGACGCCGCTTCCAACTCGACAGCTCTCCCAGACGTCGGTCATCAGCTTCCGGCAAATGACGTCACCAGAACACTTCCGGAATGCTGTCACACAAGAACCAGGTGGATAAACTGCCAGTGTGTTCGTTTCGTATGTGTATGTATGTGTGTATGTGTGTATAATAAATGTATATTTATAAACGTTGATGTAATGAGTTATAAATAATTTCTCACAACCCTATTGGCTGACGGGGTGCTCATAAATATTCATAAGATGCTAATGGGTGACTTGGGCTTAATAGCTGAAACATTTGTCATTGTTTTCTTTATCATTATTATCATCATCATCATTATCATCATCATCAGAAACCTTCTTTTTCTTTCTCGGTGCATCTGACAAGTTCGTCAAACTCTTCAATCACATGAATAATATCATTACTGCTACTACCATTGCTATTACTACTACTACTACTGCTGCTGCTGCTGCTACTGCTGCTGCTATCGTTACTAGCATCATCGTCGTCATCATCGTCATCTGCTTCGTCTCCATACACATTCGACCATAGGATTGGAACGACATCTGTGGTGACGACGATGATGATGTTGCTTTCGATAATGAGAATGATAATGATGATAATAATGATGATGATGATGATGATGATGATGATGATGATGATGATGATGATGATGATGACGATGACGATAATGAGAATGATAATGATGATAATAATGATGATGATGGTGATGATGGTGATGATGACGATGACGACGGGAAGGCTTACACTTATTTATTCAATATCACGTACAACCTATCTTTAAGCTCGTTCGATGACGAGGATGATGATGATGATGACGACGATGATGATGATGATGACGATGATGATGACGACGATGATGACGATGATGAAGATAAAGCTGATGTTGTTGTTGATGAGGATGGTTAAGATATATTGATACATAGGTACATAATTGCATACATGCTTACAACATAAGGCAATGATTACAACAATTTGCATCAATATCATCTTTATTATAAATTGTATACAGCCTCGTATGTGTGTATGTGTGTGTATGTGTGTGATTGTTTGTTTGTATGTGTATATACATACGACTCAATAATTAATTATATATGAATATGTTTATATACAATAATTGAATAGAATATGCAATCGTTTTGCAAAAGTTTGTTTGCTTGTTTGTTTGAATGTATGTATGTATGTATGTATGTATGTATGTATGTATGTATGTATGTATGTATGTATGTATGTATGTATGTATGTATGTATGTATGTATGTATGTATGTATGTATGTATGTATGTATGTATGTATGTATGTATGTTTTTAAAGAAACAATTTTGCATTGTCTTGTTAGAGCGTTGCATATTTATCATGCCATTTATTCTTTCATTAGCCCTGTCTTTCTATCTTATCAGAATTAATTGCCTTTTTATGGGCATCTTTTATTCTTTTATTTTGGTCATTCATCCATCTCTCTATCTTTCTCACTCTAATTATTCGTCAATTTATCTTTTTATTCTTTTATTTATCTATAGTTCCATCCATCCGTCCATCCATTAATTTATTTTTTTGTTCGTCAATCAACCAATCAAAAAAATAAAATAATAATAATAAACCAATAAAAGAAGCCAATCACAAGCCAATCATTCAGCCAGTCAACCAATCACAAACCAGCCATTCATTCAACCAGTCAACCAACCAGACCTAAGCACGTATTATTGGAGACGCGTGATTGGATCCTCAGACATTTTTCCCTCGTTTCGAGCCTTCTCATTGGACAGCCACAGCCAAACATTCCCGGATTGGTCAGTTTTAATCGACGAATTAACCAATAGCAGCTCTTGCTATGTCGTTATTGTGTGGAGTTATTGATCAACAAGTGAATGAATGAATG